AAAGCTACATTTAAGCGAAAAAATTTGCCTCTTCCTTTATCGAGGGTAGTTAATCCACGTGTCTTGTATGCCCAAAACGAGTAGCTATGAATCTGCCCATAGTTAAAATATGTAGGAACCGCATCTTAGTACGCATTTACTCTCTATTTTTACCATATTATTTAAACTGAAAGAATGTTTCCGGGAGCAAATTTAGTTCCTTATATTTCTTTTTATGCTCAATTGCGTGCCTGTGTAAGCGGAGGCCCAACAAATGCCGATGTAACTCGATCTGATGGTGGGGCTCAGGCTCTGCTATTTCAACATTTCTGTGGCCAGGTGCCCAACACCGAATTCATGATGGTGCTGGAAGCCTCGTACAGAAGCAGACCACAGTCCCCTTTTTTTGCACTCTGCCTCAGCTTAACATGTTGCCATTCGTTTTCAATCCAACGGCCAAAGGAACAATCGAAATCACTAATTCGTTAGGTAGGGAAACGGTTCACTTCTGCTTCTCCCCTTCGGTTCCATTCCCACAGCATAAACTGCATCCCATTCACCGGCAAGCGATGGGCTGTAAAAACCAAAGACTGACGTCTGTCTGGCCATTTCTCGGCAAAATTGGCGTCAACTACCGTATAGGCTGATAAATTAGCTCAAAATCACCCAGAAAGCTTGACTGAACGAATTTACGAGCGTTGCCATCTGCTATTTCAGTTACCTCAAGGAAAAAATTTCGCCGATTGTTCCCTCTTTCTACCAATGCCGCATTCTTACTGTTTATGTTCAGACTAACGAGTTTCAATTCGACAAATTTCAGTACTATGATCTCCCTTCAAGGACTTATTTGCTTTCTTTCATCCATTCCTTTGTCCATCCATACATTCGCCACAACATGCATCGATAAAGCCGTCTTTTTTCTATTGATACAAGCTTTGAACATTTTATCTACCATTTTTATTTATTTGCCCGTCTATCCATCCGGTCAGTTATTCGACATGCTAACGCACACACGCATGTCAACAAATGCTACATTTTTAAACACATTTTACAGCTTTCATCCCATAAAATAGGCTAACCATTAATCAAATTTTCCTTTATAGCATATTTTAGGAGAATTTTCCAAAAGTTTACAAGTTTCACCTTGTATCTGCGGCTAACTATCCAATTTGCAGACGCGGAGAGATAAATTAAATTGCAACCCGAACTGATCCCTCCAAAAATAGAGGTAAACTGGGCCAATTAGTTGGTCGTCGTCTATCCGTTAACCTAACTCAAATGTAGAGGCACGGCTAACTGTTGCGCAGCCTCGGGTCATAAATTCTAACACATAATAAGTAGGTATCTACTACGTCCACGGGAGCTTTAACAAGAACTATGATCGCGCTGTCTCGTAATTTGATGAAGGAATGATAGTTGAAGTTTACCACAATCATGGTGGTGAGGAGAGGTGTAGACTGTAGTCCAGTCCAGTCAGAATAAGACTGTGTGAAAACTCAACTATCAGCCTTCAATTTTTCCTTTCATAAATAAGCTTCAGAGACTACTGGTAGATCCGATCTAAGAGCGGCACTCACCGTATGAAGGAATGGTAAATTAATTTTCCTCCAATCATATGAATAGGCTTCATTTTTCCCATGAATTTTACATATCCTTGCTTCCCAAAAGGTATTCTTCCCCAGAGCTGAGGGGACTGCAGTTACGAGCCCACTTGGGTCTCACCGGAACCGGGAATCTAATCCAGGTTGTGCAGCATACAGTCGTAAAGCGTTAATTATTACAGCACACTTCCATGAGTGCATTTGGTTCACAGGGCAGAAGTGCATTTCAAGGAACCCTAGGCCCCTCCCATATTACCCATACAACGAAATATGATTAATACTACTGGTGGTCTCGAAATCCTACTTATAGAACAAAAAATAGGTATTCAGTCGATTGATATATAAAATAAGCCTTTGCTTCTTCGACAATCCCACCACAGAAATAGGAAAGGCGTAGGCTTACTTAAATGCATTTCTGCCAAGTCCAATGCACTCATGGAAGTGTATTTAGGTAATTAACGTTTTGCGACTGAACGCTGCATGAACCAGGTTTGATTCCTGCTGTATGTGCTTGTGAGAAATAGGCGAGGTCATAACTGCACTCCCCTTCACTCTTGATGAGAATATCTTTTGGGAGGTTAGGAGGTTAGGTTTCCACTGTGAAATTCAGTGTAAAAATGGGGCCTATTAATATGACAATTACCAGTCCTTCATTACTTTAAACGAAATATAGTGAATAAAGCTCTTATGCCAGTGTGTAAGATAAATAAGAGTTCTTATTAAAAATCTACAGATAACCTCGAAAAATACTTAAAATGATGAAATAGCCGGTTTCGATTAATTTATTTATATAACATTGTTGTGGAGATTTTCATTTCATATGAAATGCATACTGAAGAGATTCGTAGGTCAATCTGACTAGAAGACGAAGGCAGATTACTGATTGACTTAGTCCACGAGACATCTTCCCTTGCTTCGGGTGAAAACGGGTTAGGAATTAATTCGTCATACGATGAACAATATGTAAGCTAAAATGCATTCTTGTTAAAGTGACTTTGAGTTGAGTAGATATGAAATTTAGGCTAGGGCCAGATGGTCCTCTTGACTTAATGTTAGCTTGATACATTTGCCACGAGTGCACTTGGGTCACAGGGCAGGTGTGAATGTCAAAGAAGGCCAAAAATTTACTTATATCACATTCTGTGGTGGGATTGTTGATAAGGCAAAGTTGCATTTGCTATGGCAATAAGTAGGTATTTTGAGACTACCAGTAGATCATTTATGTATGGAGTGTATTCACCCTATTCCGTTTAAGATATTAAGGGAACTTGTAATTGAATTTTCCCATAATGAC